AAAGGTTAAAGAAGAAAATCATCGCTAAGAGTAAAGAGGTCGCATTGGCGGAGTAGATAGGGTCATCAGATTCATTCCTTGGTCCTTAGCTGAGGAATGTTCAGTCAATCAACCTGGTCATCGATCTATCGGCTCAACCTTCTACTATAGCGCAAGACCTACCGATCGAACAAACTACGCAAGAACCTGTTCCGTTCGAGGCTGACCTCATCTTTTATAAAGATTAGTTCTGCTTTGGTTAGGGTTTCCTTTTTTTTGGGAGTTGCAGGCCATTTTCAATCACTACGGGGGATCCTCTCAAATCTTGCCAAATTCCATAGTCGCCATCATGATTTTTATTATTTATTGTCTTCAGTTGGGATTTCCCAGGTCGATGAAGCTCTTTGCATATTTCTTTTTGTTTCAGATCGGCCCACATGACTACGTTCAAGTTTCCTCCCTCAGCAAGGTCCAACTGCTGGGGTTGGAGAATAAGGTAAAAGACAGGAAGCTACACTTCTACCTCGATTCTTCTTATTGGGGTTAGTACATCCAAACTATTCTGTTTAGAGGCGCGGTCGCCATGTCCAAGAAAAAAGTGTTGGATCAAGTACCGGAGGAGGCTAAGACAATAGAATGGTGCCAAATATTTGTCCACCAATGCCTTGATTTGGTGACTATTAATCAGGTGCTACAACTAGATTCATTCGGGCGGATGTTGGTGGCAGATTGGGCGGCCTCTGATGCTCAAGAGGCCGAGCAGGATGCAACACCAGCCGCCCGGGCCATGAAGAAGAAAGCCCGAGCGGCTGAATGTATCGAACCGTGAAGAAGAAAGCCTGAGCAGCTGAATGTATCAAATCTGCCTGCCTTGAAGGTACTGCAGTTGCGGGCCGGAAGATGCTCCTGGTGGTCTGTGCAGGCAAAGATCTCAATGGTGCATAAATAGTAAACTCTGGTCAGAGTATTCTATTATTTTCCAAGGATCACAGAAGAGTTTCTGTGATGCTCGCTAAAAGCTCTCTATCAGTAGTAGGTCCCTCGAATGTGCAACACCAAGAGGCTGAAAGGATAGCAATCCGGGTGGCCTTGGCAGAAAGATAGGAAGCAGGATCTACCAACCCTCGGTCGGCCGCTTCGACATTCATCAAGCTATTCACAAGGGATGAAGCCAGTTGCCCTTATCCTGTTGGCTCGAATGTTTCTAAGTTCGAGCTTGAGCAAATCAGGCACGAGAGGGAGAGTAGCGAAAAAGGGGAAGGTATTTTTAATAAATCCAAGTGATTCATAAAGTAACAATGATAATGACATGTTAAAAAACCTACAATTAACATTGCTAAAGATCCCATTTATCTTTAAAATATTAAGCATGTCGAGATTGATACATTTCATCAAGGAGAACACTGAATAATATATTATAAAAGTTAAATACACTAATAAAATTTAAGATGGAAGACATGCTTACTAAAGCCCTAAATAAAAAACCAAATTGTCATCCTCATTTCCAAGCAAAGAATATGTTTCCAGCTTGACAGAACGTGTGAAACTACAGGTAGACAATGAATGTCCCTTTCCCTCGATAGAAAATTGCTTAATGATTCAGAATTGAGGAATATTCAACAAACAATATTTGCGTAAAAAAATCACCAATTAATCCTTAAATTTGGCTCATGATTTAAAAAATCAAAACGAACTTTTTTGGCAACATTGGTTTTTCCCGAATTTGGGAGATGGAATTGCTGTCAAGTTTATCTTTCACATGGACTTAGTTCTTATTGTACTCTATTTTGCTAATCTTTTATTTCCATTAGAAAAAAATGTGAACGCATTTCTACCTTTTGTACTCTATTTTGTTGATCATTTATTTCCATTAGAAAAAGTTTGATTCTACACAATATTTTTTTCTTCTCCTTTGACTGGCCCCATCAAGGCTCTCTTGCCTTCCAACAAATAATACAATTTGAATTTTCTCTTCTATGTATTAACTTCTCTCTACTTTCGAACATAATTCAACGGGAAGAAATAACATCAACATAATTTTAATTGGTTTCAAAAACCAATTAAAATCTATTAAAATACAAATTGTGATTGATCTGAAAAAGAAAACACGTAAAAGGAGACGTGGTTTAAAATGCTAACATTTTGGGTGTGTGAAACCGGTGCTTTTTTTCAAAATTGCAGAGGTCTAGTCCATCAATGTTCTCCTTGGTCATTGTCTGGTTAATGCATCTCTTACTTTCTTCTGTAGGCGAAAGCTACATCTAATGAAATATTTGTGGGAGAAGACTGACTCTTGACAGCTAGGAGTTTTATTCATACTTGCGTATCCTTGAAGCTATCCATTTACCTAGGATTTATTTTATTTTGATGATATTTTATTGAGGCATCTAAAAAACATAGATCTCAATTTAAATGTTTATATAGATTTTTTTTTGAAGAATTATTTTTCATGATTTATTTATTTTACCCATCGCGTCCCTATCTTCCGTCCTGCCAAGGACCCTTAAAACAAATCAGGGTGACCTACTCTCTAACTTGACCTCATCAATTTATGGGTTTACATTGCCATTCATATACTTAAAAGAGAAATTAACATCTCTATCTTCTTCCTTCCAACTTACACAAATATTCTTCCATGTATACCAAAGCACCACACTAATAGGGCGTCTGGTTGCACCCTATATTTGCATTTTAAATCTGATAAATTCATATTCATATTGACAGAAATGGCCATGGAGATGATACCCACGATACTACGGAAGAAATTCTTAAATTCTCCTCGCAATCGGATTTAATAAATTTGAATTCATGTCATAAAAGAAACGAAACTGATAAGAAAAGACAAACGCGAAAAAATTTAATTGGAGGGAGCTTCGGATTTAATTTTAGTTTTTTTTTCAATTTTTACTCGGATTTAAGCTAAATTCATAACCAAATACCATGCTACCAAACACTACTAGGCGTCGCACCTTAGTGTTTCGGTTGGTAGGAGTAGGGCTGTTAAAATGGTTTGTTGTCGTGAAAAGCTCGTGTTTGGCTTGGTAAAAAGCTCGTGTTCAATTTGTTTGCTAAGAAAACTAGTCGAACATGAATATTTTAATATAAGTACTAAGATTTAGATCTCGCCTCCACCCTTAGCATCCTAAGGCTACATGACTTGGGCTATCAAAACGGCTCATTGTTCCCGAGCTAAGCAAACAAGCCAAATACAAACAAAATTTTTACGTTTGATATATAAATGAGCCGAACACGAACAATATTATTTTTTTAACGAGCCGAACATGAGCCAGCTCGTTTACAACCCTAGGTAGGAGTCTTTGCCTGCCATTGGGAATTCATAGGTTCGTGTCACAGCATTAAATGCATAAGAATTGTGTTTTGTCAGTAAATTTCCCAAAAAGAAAAAAAAAAATGTGAACGAACCCCACTCATTACGATAGTCTGCTTCTTGGAGGAAATGGTCCCTTAGATGGCCCAACTGTTAGATTAGTCCACACGTCTGCAGGCTCTTTTAGCATTTTATAGCTTTTATAACCATCGACTTGAAAACATAGCGTATAAAAAACCAGTACTAGCTTTTGGACGCGTCTAACTCTCAGAATTTTGAGCTGATATGGTTTTCTCCTTAGTTTATTCCTGCTTATTCGTTCTCTGTGTCAAGGCAACCTTCAGTTACCATCCGACTCTATCATGCCAAAAGAATGAAATCTGCTTCCCTTTGTCAACTATAAATTCAGTTCCGCCTTCTTCAATGGAATATGTTGTTAGATGTAATCACAGTGAATTGGAGATTAAATTTGAAGACGAGAGTTGGCGTACTGTGAAAGAGATCGATTGCCACAACAGAAGACTAATAGTCTTAGATCAGGAACTCGGCAATATCTTGGATCCTATAAATTGCAACTTCCTTTATATATTCGATCCCCCCTTTCATCACTTTGTTCCGCCTCGAACCAATCACTTTAAGAATCGCACTTCTTGCTCCTACCAAGATTACGAGTATTTCATGAGTTTCCTTCCAGAATTTTTCAATTTGATTCCATGCAAAAATTTCAGTGCCTACTATTGGAATAGATGGAAAGGCAATTTATCAGAATATTCTCCTGCTATGTGCGAGGTCAACACTCGACACCCTCCACTTGAGTTTGTGTTGTCGTTCAGTGACGAGAACATCCCTACTATCTTTCGGGTTTTCAGCTCACTTAAAACTTCAGCAACAGTGCTTCAATGATAAAATTTGCAGTAAGTGGTAGAACCCACAATTTTATGCTTATGTACCAGAGATTCCTACAAGTTGCTGGTTGTCGCTTGTTTAATAATGCCTCCAGTATTTAATTATCGTGCTTCTTCAGTTAAAGTCAAGACATTCCTTTTCTAGGCCATTAGATCCAGTGGAAATTTTATGAAGTATGAGTGCTGCAGTATTTCTACTTCAACTCTAACTGTCTAGTATGTTGATTCATGGTCATTTATTTGAGGTTTTCTTTAATTTGTTTGTAAAATACTTTCACTTCGAGGCAGATTTGGCTCTCTATTTATTTAAAATGTGATTGAACCATTGTTTAGCAATTTTCTTAAAAGTGAAACATTAGAAAGTCAAAATGAAAATTCTTTAACGTGGTCTCAGTTTCTTGAGTCTTTCAATATGAGAAAAAAGTTTTCCTAGTCATTGTTCCCACGATAAAAATGTTAATGAGGGGGGGGGGGGGGGGGGGGGTAAAAG